ACAAGCAAAATTAAGAAAAAAAAATGTTTATGACAGTTGTCTCGTAAAATAAAAATAAGAATGGTTAAATTATTGATTTAGCAAAATCAATAATTTAACCATTCTTATTGATTTAGCAAAATGATGTTAATAAAAAAAAAGAAATAAAATGGTAACATATTAAAAACAAGCCAAGTAACTATTCAGTCTTATTTGTTTATACCGTCACGAAGCCTAAAATCATAAATCAGTTACAAGTTATTTGTAATACAACTAATACTTATGTGACAGCAATTTTACTGGACAACTAATAACATATTATCTTAATCGGTGTGTTATGTAACTCAGTGATCACAGAGAAGAAAATGTTTTGTGATCAGCAGCTATGTTATTTTTTATATCATTTTATTTTTTCTCAAATTAGAAATTAAAGAAACGTGTTTGATCGATAAATTTAATTACTACCTGTGCATATCACGTCTTATACATGAATAAGTAGTTAGCAGAAAATTTATCATTGGTTATTACAAGCTATAAAAAAACAGACTCGAAATTGTTATTAAATTAAGTATTCATATTTTGCATTGCAATTTTATTTATATACTTAAAAGCTCACCACATGAGCCCTCTTTCGGGTGGTACAAATATTGCAGTAGATCTACAGTATCTTATGTACATAAATCTTAGTCACCTGAGCTATATCAGTCTCACCTAAAATCTAACCTGTTTATCTAGAAATAAAATAAAGTCTCGCCTAAAATCTTTTCCGTTGTAAAAGTCCCATGCAGAAGCATGACAAACAACGTCTCTATCCTTCGGTTTCGTTAACATCGAATGTTCCCAGAATTCCGGTGGCATTGGAATAAGTCCAAGTGAAGTGAAAAATTCCTCAGAAACTTTAAACATCTTCTCTGCATCCCAGTTCTAAATAAATCGTAACAGTTTTCGAATCAAAAATGATTCATAAATAATGTAGTGGGTTTATGCTTATAGTTTTGATATTTCGATTTTGTGTTATTTATTCTAATTCCGAAAATCTAAATATAAAGGTATGAATAAACCTATCTTTGATTTACATGAATTAATATGAAATTCTGATAAAAGCTACTTTCATAGACATATAGCTATTAATGAGCATAGCTAATCAAATATACTGTTCAATCTATCTTACATATAATTACAAGCATACATTGTGGAATAAGTGTGGTATCTTCGCTGTCAAAGATATTTTCGGCCATAAACCCAATAGTATCTCAAGAAGGAAGTTTAGCCAGCCAAAGGAACTTAGATTAGTCCTAAATCCATATACTATGTTGATAACGCAGAACAATCATAATAATAATATCTAAAACATCAGTAAAATGTATAACAATCATTATAATAAAACAATTAGAAATAATAAAATTAATTAATAAAAGTAAATATATTAAATATTCTAACCAAAACCGTGTCCAAGTAAAAAGCGCCATACTGCAGTAAAAATTGAAAGTGAAATAACGGTTTCTATTTAGCAATACAACACACAGATGCTCACCAATTCTTGCATTTTCTTTGTTACGTCAATACTTTGTTTGTCAAATGGCTTTAACTCTTCAAGAAGAGATGTCCATGATTGTGCCCACATGTTCCCTAAAATGTAATCAATCTCTTGACATTTATTTCAGTAATGGACTCAACAAATACGAATTAGTCATCAACAAATGTATTCAATTATAGGAAAATCGTCATCGAATATAATAACTTGTACAGCCAATAGATATTGTGTTCGTTGTATCCAGCCGGCCTGAAAAACTCTAAATTAAGAGACACGCGTCATCAGTAAAGCATATGACGAATACAGTGTAATTGAAATATTATTATTATTATAATACACTGTTCTAATTCTTGAAAATCCCTAAGGGACAAGTATCAGTAATTATATTTGATAAAATGAAGCTTAGAATAGGTCGTCAAATAACGAACATACCTAGAATATGGGCAGGAATTGTCCCATCTTCTGGCATTTTGTCTCCATATATGTCACGTAATTTCATTCTGACATAAGCATGAATTTTCTGATACAGAGGGCGAAGCTGGTTCCACAGACTCTCAACGTCAGCGCGAAACGTCTCAGACTCGTAGGGGGCCAACCACATTTCACTTAAGTCTGAGAATCCTTAAATATAACAAATGCATCATGCATCAAACAAATAATTGAACCCAACTCCTCAAAAAAAGAATATTTCAACGTGAGAAAAATAATCAAAATTCTATGAATTAAATGAAGATCGGTGTTTATTCTTTTAACGTTTCAGCTTATTCAAGTAGCACACACATATAAAATTACAGTTATACCTACTTTGAAGATAAACTCAAGAGGCATAAAACATTTTCAAATGAATTCATAAATACTATAATAGGAAAAACATAGATATTTTATGTATTATGAAGTAAACTTGGTTATAGTAATTTTTCTGTATTTTAGTATTTCATCTATTTTATATAGAAGTCTTTCATTACTACAGTTTAATTCTTTGATTTTATCCATCATTACAATTTATGTCTATATAGTTATCATTCGTTACTACAGTTGCTTCCATAAATTTATTATTTATTATTACAATTTATGTATACATGATTAATTTTGTTATTGCAGTACGTTCCCCAAGTTTCACTTTTATTATTACAATTTATGTATATTTCATGTTTTTTCCTTACTTCACTTTGTTTCTATATTGTTTTTCATTGATGTAATCTGTGTTTATATTGTAATATTTTATTTTTCAGTTTTATTTGTATAGTTTTTTGTTTCGTTGTAAGATTTTATCTATATATTTTACGTATCTGTGTGATAGTCTTTCATTTGCACACTTTGAATTCATATAACACAAATTCCTTAACATAACATCATTAAAAAATACTTCGAACTTTAGGGGTCAGTATTTAATAATAATGTAATACTTAAAGCCTAAATATCAGAAAGTATGCAGAAAGATAATAATGAACTTAAGAATGTTGTACGACAACAGTTTACCATTGGCCTTTGCTGCCTCGTTTCCCAGTTCCGTGACGTCAATATATTGATCCCTGATAGGCTTTCCTGCAGCATCTCTCCACTTAAGCCACACCTCCTTCAATTCTTCGTAGTCACGTGATGAGGCCAGTATACGAGTCAAATCTGAAACATCGGAATTGTATTTATCAAACACATAATCGTGCTCCAAATTTCTATTACAACGAAAGTGAATCGTGACGTACTTAGAACATTAAATACTGAGAACACAGGGTATACTGATATTTCGTAGAGAAGCATATGACGCCATATAAATGGCGTTATATTTCACACGTACTTCTCTTTCTGTGCTGTTTAGTAATCCTGCAAAGCATTCCCTTCGAAAAACGAAATTTGAAAGGGGGCGGAGGACTGAAATGTACGGGCCCACACGTATACCGACGATCCGTATACATATATATGTATTTTGAAAGCGACTACATTTTCTCCGAAATTAGGCTCCTGCTTGAAGCAGTATTTCAAACAGCAGAGACAATAACGTATTTTACAGGAACACATCACAAAAAGTGGTGTCTCAGCTCATAAACTGCTAATAATTGACCTATATTTTTTATGCCACGAAAAGAAGGAAAATTATAGTCCCCTCGGCTCCTTTGCTTATCTGAATAAATATTCTGTGCTTTAATATTATTTTGAAGTGTTGGAATGAAAACATTAGGCCCTTAATTTCAAGTGGTGTTTTAATTTTCTATGTATATATTATGTAGTAAATAAAAAATCAATATAGTTCAGTTTAGTACTTGCTTGTTTTTAGCAAAGCTACACAATATGCTATCCGTGCTCTGTACATCACGGATAGTAGAATCCTGGTTTTGAACGTTGTAAGTTACCGCTGACTCACTGGTGGACATTTAATATTTGTAAAAAATACTAATTGCACACACAAAAAGGATAAAATCCAAATATCCAACGATTCTAATGAGTCGTGTTCCCAAATATAAATCGTTCATATACCAGTAATTTAGTCATTCCAGTATGATGATGAAGCTAAAATAATCCCGTTTAGATTTAAAGGGTGATTTGGTGCTTATTAGGGCAGACATCAGGTGATATCAACGGAATGCTTTAGACAGGTGGCGTATCCTAGTGGATATTAAGAGAATCGTTGTTTCAGCGATTTGAGGAAATAACGTCAAACGAAACATCATGCACTCATTGAAATTAAATAAATAACGAGGCATAAGAAACGGCTCCAAACCACTTTCATCACATGAATGGTTTTTGTGCTGATAACTAGTTCCGCCATCTGAAGACAGTATCTTTTTATATGGCTATCCTTTTATTTTGTTTCACATCGTTCGGAAAAACACTATTTTGAGAAGACAGTAGTATCAAAGTAGAAAAGAAGCAACTATAATCACAGGGAAACCCTAGCGATCTATATAAGGCTGGCTTTGTTCTATTGTCACGCATGTTAAGCCCACGTTTTAGGTTTCTCATGTATCAGGGCGGCTTCAAATAAAATACGAACAAATATCATTGATATATGATGAAGGAAACATGAAATACACCAAAAATATAGATACACAAAACATAAAATACACCAAAATATAAATACACAAAACATAAAATACACCAAAAATATAGATACACAAAACATAAAAGACACCAAAATATAAATGCACAAAACATAAAATACACCAAAATATAAATACACAAAACATAAAATACACCAAAAATATAAATACACAAAACATAAAATACACAAAACCCGACACAGGAGAGTCGGCTTGTATGGTGATTTCATTATAAATTACAAGACATGGAGTCATTACCAATCCAAAGAGCCGCCCAGTGGGTTTAGGAGGATCATGAGGAGTTCGACTTAAGAAGCCGAAATGGATATGGATGTATTCTAGAAACGCTCAAGATTTACACATTCCGTAAATTAAATCGAAACAAAACTCTTGTTTTCTGAAAATATACTGTACCTTTTCTTGGAAAGTGATTAGTCTTTGTGAGATATCTCAAGCATTTTTCACGAGTGTTCACACCATTTAATTCAGTCATCCAGTAGTCGAAGGAATTAGGGTTTTCCTTTCTTCACTGTTATCATATCATACTTGTTTGGTTTTATTATGTATTTATATGCTTTTCTTGGAACTTTTTCATGTACCAATTGTTAAGTTTATAGTTACTCCCCTAAAAAAGAGTTGCTTTCAATTTCCATATAAATTTTCATTTGGAAAAGTGTCCTACTAAGCAATAATTAAGGGCTACTTTTCAATATATTCATCATTGTTACTTTCTCTTTCTTTATTAGCTCGCACTATAAAAGTCATCATTCTTGCCATCAAACCAGTATTTTTTCCAAGGGAGCATTACCATCAAGGTCATCGTCAGTCATTGACATCTGTTTTCTTTAAACTTTTCATTGAAAACAGCATTACGTTTAGTATTCATATTGGGATTTGTTTTCATTCAAAATGTTATTTTTGAAGAATATTTCTTCCTTCATTTGACTCGTAATATTTTTGCACTTATTCTACAGATAAGTTTCAAAGTAAAACACTTCATAAATGTTATTATGCCTTTTGGTATGGTACATTAGAATGGTCTTTGCTGTGAATACTGACGAATGACTTAAATAGATATACGCATTACTCCCATATTTATATATAAACATTGAAAATGAGAGTAACAGAATTCCTCCTTCAACTCTCACCGATATAAATATAATATTAGAAAGTACATCTTCCAGGTCCTTACTTAACAAATTATATGTCTATCGAACATATATAAAATACTTATTTATCAATCTTGTTGTTCAGATCGTATTAGGTATTTATCTAGCTTAATAAAATTTCCTGCTACAGATATAAGAACTTGTGACATCAAAATCAATTGTTTACCCCTACTTATCATGCTGTTTCATTCGTGTGTCATTGATTCATTTTATTTTCACTAAGATTAGGTACAGTTCATTGTAATAAAGAAAGTGAAATGATTATCTGGTGTGGGTACAGAATGATGTTGTTAGCGGTTGCTCGAAATAACTCTTGTGAACTTAAGGTCTTTCATACTCTTTAAGGTCGATCTTTTTACCTTTTGGCTGTTGATGTACACCTAAGGTAGATCTTTCTTGCAATAAAATGAAAGACAACACAGGGAAAATCAATATGCCATCAAAAGTTGTCTTAATTTGGCGGTATGGTACATAACATTACAATAAAAAATACTGTTGACTTAGGGATGGTTGAGAAAGGCCTATTCTGTCTAGTTTCTAATACGCTAAGAAACACCACAGGTTTAGTCTACAGAACACTCCAAGTAAATTCAGTGGTTAGTAAAAAGACTTAACTTCATTTCTAAACACTCTACCTGTCAAAGTTTGACTCAAGCTGAAGTTTACCGAATAAAACTACTTATAAAAAAAATGTAGGCCTATGTGATTACCTGGTTCCAGTGATAAATCACAGGTGTCACGGATACAGACTGTGGATGTGCTGTAAGTCCTTTCCATTGCTGCCTCTAGAGATGACAACTAGAATAATAAGAAAAAAAAAAGTTATAAATTTATATAACAGCCGGAAAAAAATCACTAATTTTCTGATCTTTACACTAGGTTATGCAAAAAATAATGTTTCAGTTGATTGAAGTCATAATTAAACATAATATATATTACATATAGTATTTTAATCGCATGTTTAATAATACATACATACATATATATATAAGTAAGTAAATAGTACTAATACTATAAATTACGTCAAAAGTATATAGACGATAAAAAATCAGCACTATATAATAATGATCAAAGTTAATATAAAAACCAAACCCAAGATGTGTATTATGACACAAACTTTTTGTTAGTTTCATAATATGCATCTCGGTTTTGGTTTATATATATATATATATGTGTGGTGAACTTTTCCAATAAATCGTTACTCCAACGAAAGGAAAACTAGTTTTCTGACGTAACTTTTATTCTTCATATACACTCTGGAAGAATCAATATAACAAACATAAACATGAAGTACGGTATTTCAAATAAGAAATTATAAAACCTCTTAGATAAAACATAAAAACATGATTTAATTTTAATAAAGTCTTTCAACTTAAAATCCAAATAATAAAACTTTTTTTTTCATTTTCAATATAAAAAAATGTTTTATAAATCCCTAAATAGCGACAAATAGTATAATGGCAAAAATCATTAATATTTGGAAAAATAGGAAACAACACATACATATCAATCTATTCTACTTGTAATACGTTGTCCAATATTTATTAAAGGAAATCAGTAACGCTAGAGAAGTTGGATAAATTTCGTGATATTGTAATAAAACGATCTAATAAAAGAGGTATAAACGTACAAAAAGATCCGTATATATAGGAAAGGAGTATTCGTCCTGCAGTAGTGATACTCCGTCTATATGTATATAATACTTGATGCCTTTACTTCATATGATAAAAGTTCCTCGACAAAACAGAGGTAACTTTGACTGTTTTTACAGATATATTTCCAAAACATAACTGCCATTATAGTATACATGAAAGCATCCCTAACTCTGAAGCACTGCACAGAAAATGATGCAATGGGAAAAAAATCCAAACCACATAAAGATTAAACCTTGTCCTGTATCACATATTATTAACGTCTTCAGACAAACGACTAAAAGAGCTTTAGCACCGGTTCTCGACGCCACTTGTTTATTTACAGTTGGTGCCTTTAAACACGTAATTGGTAAATATGAAGATTAATAAAATAACATTTTAAAGAATAAGGTTAAAAGATCATTAGATTAATCATATACCAAACAACACTTGATTGACTTCATGTTTGTTTCGAGAAATTTAAAAAAATACAAGTAAGAAAGATTCGTTTGTCTTAGTACTCCATAGCATTGGGGATTGTGTAGTGTTGCACAAAACCTTTGCTGCTTGCATATTATCTAATTATGCAAAATTAATTAAAAGAAGATGTACGTAAGGAGATGGTTTGAGAATTAAGGTTAGCAAAAGTGTTGAAAGTCTCGTACATAAATCCTAATGCACCTATGTGCTACTTAATGCAACACAGTCCAGGGAAAGCGGCTTTAATAAATCAAACGAAATTTATATTAGGTTTAAAATTCTTAAGTTTAAAAGTATTTAATGGCCCTCAAATAGGAAAACTTGGGGTATTACTGTAACTGTTATAATAAGAATATTATATCCTAACCTTGATGGAAAATAGAAAGGAATGTTATCTGGAAAATACACAAAACCCTGGATTATGGATGACAACCTAATATGATTAACTAAGTAACTACTCGCCCAGATCTGACTTAATTACTGATATTCAAGTTAAGCCTAACGAAACTCCTGTAAATCCTCTCCTCAAATTAGATCAAATCTAAAATTTCTTATCGGAATTTCCATTCCTTTTGATTAGTAATAGAGATTCATATAAAATGAGAAAATACCTTTTCTAGTTTATCATCTTCCAGCGCTGCTGTTCCTAGTACAGACAGTTTCTTAAATTGTCGTTTCAAAAATTCATCTTTGAAACCTTCCCACTTAAATAGAATGGTGTCCTTCCATGCTGTTTTCTGAAACTTATAATACTCCTGGGACTCTTCAACCTAGGTTTAAATATATGGAACAACCAATGGTAAAATCAATTATATATATAATGTTGCGTCAGCGAGGTCACGTGACTAGTGTCACGCCACCTGCTTTCTGGAAGTATCTTGTACTTTCGTGAATGCCCGAGCATTTACTAGATATATGTTTGTCTGGTATATATATATAAGACGCTCACAACGTGACAGGACAATGTGTGTGAAGGTAGTGAGTAATTGAACTGCAGTCAGAAAGTATTGTTGATGTTAACGTTCGTTGTTATAGCGTTGTTATAGAGCGACTGTTGAAAATAAGTGTATCGGTAAAGTTATATTCAGAAAGAATAAACCAGTTTTATTAAGTAAGGACTTGTGTCGCTAAAGTTTCGTGGGAACGAAGTTACGGAAAATCAATTAACAAACGGAGACGTAACAATAACGCGCTTTCTCTAATCTAACTTTACTATGTTAGCTAATGGTCATTAAATACGACTTAAAGCTAATGATTGGAGAATTATTATGGATAAAATAATACTGATACTAATTAGAATGAGATTAATCATCACACGCATTAGTCTTTTTAATTTAGTTTAAGATCATTTTTTGATGAAACAACTTAAAAATACAGAAATTTAAAAGTTTGCACCAAATGCAACAATTGGTATTATCTTAGATGGATTGACTTATTTTTGTTTCGTGGACAGATTGTGATAATTACAGTGGAAGAACAATGTCTGAGCGAATTTTTAGAAAGCATGATGACGAAATATGTCTCACGAATATTCTGTTACCTTATCATAAACACATGATTTGTTTTAGGGAAGCGGAGATTATTATATTTATTTTTTTCACGGTCATGAAAAATTCCATTTTAAATAGGTGAGGCTACTCACGTATTATGTAACGTTCACTTTAAGCCTAACGATCTTTAGAGTAGGACGGTCGAAACATCTTTCTTAATTAAAAGTATTTCATGTCATGTCAATGATGTGTGTAGTCTCACACATGTAAAAAAAAAAAACAAGATTAATGTAGTATGAAAGCATTTGTCTAATACTGACACTATATATGTCTAATACTAACACTATATATGTCTAATACTAATACTACATAATACGTTGTTTCAGAATGATAATTTAAAACGTTTTATTTTTTACAAACCTTTGTTTACCCTTGGAACATTAATATAGGATATGGGCGTAAGTCACTTGTTTTAGTTTGAAGAACTAAACGCTATATCAAATCATTTATGAGTTTCTGCCTATCAAAATATTTCGCACAAATAACCAGAGACGTCGCTAAGTGTTGGCACGGGGCCCGATTCTAACTGACAGTGCCCTCAATCCCTGGTGACTTTAAAAATCAGAATAGATATTGTTGCGTCAGCGAGTCACGTGACTACTGTGACGCAACGTTTCTAGAACTATCATGTATTTTGGCGAATGCTCT